TAGGGAATTTATCTCAAACTGTATCATGAGAATCTTATTGTCCCAGTCTGGGGATAATCAGCTAGGAGACAGTGTTCCAAGCTACCTCACCCAGGAGTTTGGATGGAAGTCTTAGAGAAAGAAGAGATTTTGTTCTGGGCAGATACACCAAAAAGTATATAGCAACCTGGCATTGGCCATGCCTTCTGGTCAGAGCTGAGCTAGGCCTTTTACTGGTCCTGCAGTATCCGCAGTGCCATTGCAGAGCAGGACCTCTATACCTTTAGCAGAAGTTGTGGTTCCAGAAGGGGGCAATGTGCAAGACTAGAAAAGGAGGAATAGAAAAAGATGGGATTAGGAGATGGGAGTTCAAAGAAGTAAGTGAAAGCATCTTGTGGAAAAGAACTAGAAATTTTGAAACATAGACTAAAACAAGAACATGTAGTTGTGGAAAAAAAAAACTGATTAGAAATCTGGCAAATAATGTATAGTCATTGGGAAAAAATAAATAGATGGGATAAATTCTAAATTGGACACAGAATTGCTAAATTAGAAGAGAAGGCTGAGGATTGTATTCAAATTTGTAAAAAAGGTAAGTCAGAAACTACTGTAAGTTTTATATACACCCACACATTTCTCTCTCTCTCTCTCTCTCTTTCTCTCATTTACTCCCAAGGCAATCCTACTCATTTAATAAATATATATATTACGCCTACTATATGCCAGTGACTCTGTTATTTATCTGTTGCTGTATATCAATTGCTTCAAAATTAGTGGCTTAAAACAACCTACATGTGTTATCTCATGCATTTGCTGTGAGTCAGGAATCTGGGAGTGGTTTAGCTGGGTAGTTTTGGCTCAGGGTCTCTAAGGAGGTTGCAGCCAGTTCGTTATCTGGTGCTCCAGTCATCTCAAGGCTTGGCTGTGGCTGGTGGATCAGCCTCCAAACTCATGCAGACATTGCTACAGTTCCCCTTAGCTGTGGCCAGAGGCCTCTGTTCTCTCCACACAGGTCTCTCCATAGGCTATCTGAGTGTCCTCATGACATGGCAGCTGGCTTCTCCCAAGGGAACAAGTTGGGAGGGAGGAAACCAAGATAGGAGCCATAGTCTTTTTATAACTGTATTATTCTAAAACAGAACCCATAGGAGATAAAGATACTTATTATAAGGAATTGACTGACATGGTGATAAGGCTGGTGAGTCTCAAAATCTACAGGACGAATTGGTAAACTGGAGACCAGAAGAGCTGATATAGTGTAGTTCTAGTCTGACAGGTAGCTGGCTTAAGACCCAGGAAAAGCTGATGTTTCAGTTTACATCCAAATTCAGGAAGAAACCAATGACCCAGTTTGAAGGCCATCAGACATTGGTTTCTTCCTGAATTTGGAAGAATTTTTTTTTTTTTTTTGAGACGGAGTTTCGCTCTTGTTACCCAGGCTGGAGTGCAATGGCACAATCTCGGCTCACCGCAACCTCCGCCTCCTGGGTTCAGGCAATTCTCCTGCCTCAGCCTCCTGAGTAGCTGGGATTACAGGCATACGCCACCATGCCCAGCTAATTTTTTGTATTTTTAGTAGAGACGGGGTTTCACCATGTTGACCAGGATGGTCTCGATCTCTTGACCTCGTGATCCACCCGCCTCAGCCTCCCAAAGTGCTGGGATTACAGGCTTGAGCCACCGCGCCCGGCCGGAAGAATTTTTATTTGAGGGAGGATCAGCCTGTTTGTTCTATTCAGGCCTTTAACTGATTGGATGAGGCCCACCCAGATTAGGTAGGGCAATGTGCTTTATTCAGTCTACTGCTTTAAGTGTTAATCTCCCAAAAACGACCTCATAGAAATACCCAGAATTATGTTTAACTAAATATCTGGGCACCCCATGGCCTAGTAAGGGTGACACATAAAATTAACCATCATAAATGTAATATTGAAAGTGACCTGGCATCACCTCTACAATTTTAAAGTGAGTTGCTAAGTTAAGCCCACTCTCTCAAAGGGAGAGGAATTAAGCTCCATCCCTGGAAGGAAAGCATGTAGAATACCATGTGGATATATTTTTCAAACCACTGTAAGCACTGGTACTTAGGAGACTCCAGTGTTCACTGAATAGAAGTTACTTAAGAAAAAAGCAGAAGGAATGGTAGAAAAGTAATATTTGAAGAAAGAATTGTTATGAATCTTCATCTTTCGTGGAGAGAGATGAGTCTTCAAATCAAAAGGGGCACTTGGGGTTTTAAACAAAATTAATGAAAATAATTTTTTAGATAGATTGCAATGAAATTTTAGGACCATAAAAAATAAAAGGACAAGAGCTATTAGAGAGAAAAGATACATACCTGCAGAGGAAAACAGTTAGATTGACGGTAGACTTCTTGTCAAGTAAGAGACTGATAAGCAATGGGGTAATGTTTTCGGAGTGTTGAAAGAAGGTAACTGTGATCTTAAAATTCTAAGTATAGCTAAAGTTTCACTCAAGATTGAGGGCAGATCTCAAATATGTACAATAAAATTTATTTTTAAAAAATATTGAAGGTAAATATTAAACTAATTTAACTTCCTGTCACTCAGATTCCCCATTTATGATAATAGGATAGGTAAATAATGATATTGACCTTACAGGTTGTTAACTGTTCCATTCACTGTTATATCCCAGGTTCCTAAATAGTGCCTAGCACAGATAGGCATGCAATAACTGTTCATTAAATGAATGGATGAGTGAATAGGATTGTTGTAAGGATTTATATATATAAAGACTTTATAGCAATGCCTGACATGTTAATAAGTACTCAATAAATGTTTGTTTTGAAGATTTTATCACCCACAGACACTCACTAAAAGAACGATTAAAAATATTTCTCAACAAAAGGAAAAATTCTTTAAGGAAGTATCAGATATAAAAAACAATTATGACACAAATTGATAAAATGCTGTGAATACAAAAATGTAGTGAGATAAGCAAAGAAGACAAATATTAAGAGTTGATAAATTGAGTGGTGTCTACATGATTGTGGGTGTTACTTTGGAACCCTATACTTGTTTGTATATTTGAAATTATTCATCGTAAATAATTTAAAAATAAATTACCAAACAAGTTTCATTAAAAATTAGTGGACTAGAACCATATGTATCAATATGGACAGATCCTTCACACAGAGGAAGAAGATGCAGAAGTATATGCACATTGTAATATCATTTATATAGAAGCCATGTAGAACAATATTATGTGCTACTTATGGATACATAATGTATTGTAAAATTATGTATTTCCAAGCATGTTTTAAACACCAAGTCATGATAAGGGTTACCTCTGAGGAAGTATGTGAATGGATGGAGGCATACAAGAATGTAGCCAGATAAGCAAAGAAGGTCAAAACATTAAGAGTTGATAAAACTGACTGGTGGCTACATGTGTGTTATATTAGAACCTATACTTGTTTGTGTATTTGCGATTCTTAATAGTAAGTAATTTAAAAATAAATTATCAAACAATTTCTGTGAATTATATATATATGTGTGTATTTATCTGTATGTATGTGTATATTTTTCTAATTTAAATTTTTTTACAATAAGAAAGAGATTCTTTCCAAAAATTCTAATATTCTGTGGATCTTACTTATGGAAAAATCTTATAAAACAACCTTTTAATATGGATATGGTCCTGTAAAAAACAAAAAACAAACAAAAAAACCCCAAATGACATGTTCCTATCTGTTAATAAGTTAAAATAGCTAAGTATTGTGAATAACCTGAAAATTAATTTATTTTTATACACCCTTTCTAATGTTAACATTCTGAGAGTTACTTGGGATTGTTTATAAGACAATCCCAAGTATAAAATTAAAGTATAAAACTTAAGTATAAAATCAATATAAACTTTTTTTAAATTCAAAGAAATGCTCAACAATGAAATAATTAGACAAGTATAATAGCCCTCTATGGCCTATTATAACTATTATTATTTTTGCTTTAAGTAACCTTATTTCATGGGAAATATTTTATTACTTTACTTTCTCAGTGAGAATTTTATCTGGGATTTGGCCAAATGTTTTGCATTTTCATTGACACATTTTTCACCTCTCTGTCAACTGATATTTTTTAGTTTCTGAACACATGGAACAGATTTTTACAGAAGTTGTATAATATCTTAATTTTAAATATATTAAAATACATATTTTTTCATATAAGTTTTAGTTTTCTCCTTAATTTATAAAAGAAAAATTAGAAATTTGAATATTTTGCATTATTTTGTTTTCCACAATTTTTCATGGCAGACATGTCATGAAATTAGAACTTAAAAAAAATATTTTACGGTGCCACGATCCATGATTATGCAGCAGTCTTTGGGTTTCTTTAGTGGTGAGACCGCTTTCATCACACAGGACAGATGGGCTTAAATGGCACGAACATGACTGGAAAGTGCATGTTATGTATGTTTCAGTCAGCATGTTGCTATTGACAGGTGTTCAATGGTTGTTGGTATCCTTGTCAGCAAAGAGAATCCTTTGACATTAAAGTCACTAGCTCTTTTCTGATTTGTGGTGACTCTATTGGCAGTTCCATCAGGCTGCAGATGATGAGTGAATGTCAGAGCTGCAGCTGTTCTTCAGGAGTATCACCAGCTGCTGTGGGTTTTTTGTCTTTTTGTTTTTTTGTTGTTTTAGTTTTTGGAGGGAGGAGTGGTTTAGCTTGTCTTGTTCAGTCTTAGCCAGACTTTCAAACTGCTTACCTTTGGGAAATTAATCAAGAGGTCATAGGGAATATAGGTATCTTTAGGGCATGCAAAACCATATACAAAGTGAAGACTTACATGGAGACTGGTAATGATTACCTTGACTCCAAGCCAATCAATGGTGGAGCCTTTGGGGACTCATTAAATGGCATTTGTGGACTCTGTAACCTAGCTTTTGAGCTGCATTTCAGGAAAAGCAGTGACAGCCTTTAATGTCTAATTGACCTCTTCTCTTTGTTTCACTTTCATTCACTTTCCATACTTGCCTCTGATGTGGTCCCTAATGGCAGCAAACAGCACTGCTCAGCATTTTGAACTTCTGTTCAGAGCTTCAGCACCTCAGTTTGGGCAGTTGTGTCATGGTAAGTATTTGAGAATTCTTTATACTACTCAATTACTTGTTCTCTTTTTCTTCCTGTGGGTGAAATTTATCCTGACTCACCCTACCCCACACACACCCACAGTTTTTCAGATGTATGGTTCTCTTCTTTGTCCCTTGCTTTCAAACATGTTTCTTAAATTGGAAAGTATGTCTTTGAAACACTGACATTATTTATCCAGGAGAGCAAGGGAAGAAGTATAGTGTGGTGGAATATAGCATAGTTCTGCCCCAAACCAGATGTTGTCTCCAACAAACTATTCACCTCTCTAGGTTTCTTCACAAACTAAGATGTCAGTCGTACCCAAATGCCAATAGTTTAGTAAGTTTTTCACTGACCTAATTTATCTTTTAAAGTCTGAGATAATGTTCTTGAAATTTTCATGATAATAGATAGATTTATTTAATACGTTTGTTTTTGTGTTTGTTTTACTGTCCTTACTGTCAAAATGGAAAGATTAGCACCCTTTGTTGGAACTCTTTGTGTGTGTGTGTGTGTGTGTGTGGAAATTTGACTGGTCTGTGAAATCTAAAAGCCTAGGGACTCTTGGACTAGATAAGCTTTAAAGTCCTTCCAGATTTGAAATACAATTTTATGTGCCCTTGAAAGAGCTCATGGGAAGAGTTAAATCTTTTAATCTAAACCACATAATTATATAGCTTTTAAATAATACCAAGATGTGAAGGACAATAGAAATATTGTGTGGAGAAGGTGTGCATGTGCATGTGTGTCTTTGCGTGCACACATACTGTAAGTGGATCTTCTGGTATTGGAAGAATTCATTCCTCCTCACTTCCTCCCCTAAACAATGTAGGTTTAGGAGATCCCCAGAGCATTCCAGTTTTGCCTTGCATTCACTTAGTAGGAAGACTTGAATAAGCAAAATTATTGCAAGTTTCTAGAAAAGTTCTGGTATGCTAGATTTAGAATCGATAGACAGGGTCCTGGACCTAAAATAAGTCCCATTTGAACATCTCTTAGAGCTCAGCGTGGCTTCAGGAATGTCCCAAGATTTGGCAGTATAGACTAAGTAGGCCTTTTATGATGACATGTTTATCTCCATGTCCCCATGGTCTTTGAAATCTTGTGGTTAAGTTTTATTAAACCCCAAGTATGGGATCAGGCCATCCCAGTCTCTAGAAACAGTCATGGGAGCCCACTAGATTTTCCTCACTTCCAGTCAAGTTCTTACCATAGTAAGCCATTTGATAGGCTTCTGTGGGTCTCTCTAGTGACTCTTACTAGATGGGGCCAGTGACATTTGATGGCAGTTTCTGTCACAATGCACTAGCCAGCTACTGTACTTGGATTTTCCTTATTGCTAGCCTGCCCTCTTTAGATTGGTAAGGACCCTATTTAACTTTGCTTAGATGTACCTTATTCTGCTTGTTATTTACCTCCCTTTAAACTGGAGCAACATTCCTTAGAAAATCAAGCCTCTGACCATAGACACTTTACTACTGGAATTATATATATGCTTACAGTTGGAATTATATTAAGTTAGCATTTTTCAGAGTTGACCCATGGAAAATTAGTCCTAGAGGATAATCAACTTTAAAGGCTGTGCATTTGGGGGTGGAGTGGAGATTTCTAGTGAAATTAGGAAGCCAAGTATGGTTGCCCACACCTATAGTTCCAAATACTCTGGAGGCTGATGTAGGAGGATTTCTTGTGCGCAGGAGTTCAAGGCTGCAGTGATACGGTTACACTGCTGCACTGCAGCCTGGTCTTAAAGAGTTTGACAATGGTGTGTTCTACAACAAAGAAACTGTTTACCTTTGCTAAAACCAGTGTGTTCCAACCTTACCTAACTACTGAACTCATTTTTCTATATTGTATTTTATTGTTGACTGTCAATATAATGGCAGTTTGTAGATTTGTGGTATTTATTAAGCAGTTGTTCACAGTATACATACATAGGTCACTGTGTTGACATTGCCATGGTGATTGTGATCTATCATATACCTTCGCTGAGTATTCTCCTCATGGCGTACTTTCTCTGTAGTGAGTTTAATGTAGGTAGTAAATTAGTTGTGCCACTTTTTTTTCTGAAACTAAACTTTGTGCTACAAGTGCCAGTTAGATTTGCAGTGACAAGAACTTCTGAGGAGTAGTGTCTCACCTGTAATAAACTTGAATAGTCTAGTCAGTGCCATAAATATTCTTGTAGGACTCCTTAGAAATACTTATTTTTCCTCTTGATTGGGAAATAAACAAATTTTATCTATTTCTTTTTACTTTTGAAAATGGGCCAGGCGCAGTGGCTCATGTCTGTAATCACAGCACTTTGGGAGGCCTAGGTGGGCAGATCACGAGGTCAAGAGATCGAGACCATCCTGGCCAACATGGTGAAACCCTGTCTCTACTAAAAATACAAAAATTAGCTGGGCTTGGTGGCACATGCCTGTAATCCCAGATACTCAGGAGGCTGAGGCAGGAGAATTGCTTGAACCAGGGAGTTGGAGGTTGCAGTGAGCCGAGATTGTGCCACTGCACTCCTTCCTGGTGACAGAGCAAGATTCTATCTCAAAAAATAAAAATAAAAACAACTAAAAAAGTTTAAATTCCACTATTGTATAATACTGCTTGAAGTAATTTAAAATTGCCTAAATTAAAGAATCATAGGACCTAACTGGCATTTTCTTAAGTTTCCTACTAATTGTGCGATCCTGGTCAGGTCACTTAAATTCTTGCTGATAGTTCCTTTGTGACATTTGTCCTATTTTTAAAATTAGATCATGAATAAGAAAATAAATATGTCTAATCTTTTTGGGGAAAAGAGAGTCCTGTGTAATAACTAAAATTTAGAAGGGATTTTAGTTAATAAAGGAGAGATAGGTTACCTTTGTTCCAGTAAAAAGTATTAAGTTTCATTCTTACTTTCCCAGCCCTGAATTTGGCATGTTGAATAGTGCTCTGAAAATTTCACAGCAATGAAAAACTCTTGAAGGAATTTCTCATTGTATTCTGTGCTGGTAGAGAATTCGTCCAAATGCCACTGAGATTGCCCAGGCACCAGTTGAGCATAATCAGAATCATGGGTTTCAGAAAAATTTTTAATTGTTTCTTTCTAAATAAGATAATTGGTTGCCCTACTTATCAAACCCACAGTTTTGTGTTGTTCAGGTATACTCACTTAAGGAGATAGTTTTGTTCCCCCGAACCTGTTTCTGGTAGACTTCTGCATGATTCCATCATACATGCACTGACATCCAGAACCTTAGAAATCATTACCCCTATATCTAATCTGTCAGCCTTTGGTTCCAACTCAAAAATACAGCCCCAAATCTATCAGATTTCCCCAATTCCATCATTGCCACCTTAATCTAAGCCCCTGTCATCTCTCCTTTACACTGTTGCAGGCCTCTTCAATGAGCTGCCTCCTCTGTTCTTCCCCACCATAGGCCCATCCTCCAGACAGAAGCTTGGGGTAGTTTTGCTTTGGTTTTAATGTAAATAATAATATGTCACTCCTTTTTGGCTTCCTTAGTATTTGAAAGAAAAATCTAACTCCTTCCTGGCCTAAATGGCCTGGCCACTGTGTGACCCTACTCTCCATAGCCTGTTTCTTCCCTCACCACCCTTGCACCATATGGATCTCCTTTTTGTTTCTCGAATGCAACAAACTCATTCCTGGAGATTTCAGCAATTACCACCCCTTCTCTCAACTCCTGACACTCTGATCACTGTCACATCACTCTGTCTTATTATTTTCCCACCATATGTTGCTCTTTGAATTTATTTTCTTTACTTAATTAGTCTGTTTGTCTTTCCCAAAAATGTGGACAATGTCTGCTTCTTTCAGTTTGCTGCTGGTCCTAGCATATGGAATGGTGCATAAATATTTGCTGAAAATACAATTTAACAAAAGAACAAAAGGAGATAATCATTGTAATTGTTTACTATTTTGTTTCCTTTTGATTTCTTATGATGATTTTAATGTCTGATTTTAACAAAATCAAATGAACCTCTTAAAAGAACCTATTTAAAGAAACATTATTGAAGCATATAAAGCCCAAGAACTGAAATGTTTAATCCTTGATTAGTAGAGTCTTACCCTGGAATCATGAAGTAAGCACTGGATACCTCCAATAACTGACAGTTCATTAAAATATTGTAGTCTAAATTATTTTCATGTGGTATATGCAGTCCCCCAATGCCTCATTTACCAAAACTACTAGTATCCTTATTAGTACTATCAGCATTTCCACATAGTGTTTTAGAGCCTACCAGATGCCACATCAGGGAGATCTTATATACCTGCCAAAGTATATTAGCCATGTATAAAATGGAAGAAAGTAAGTCCTGTCACGAGTAGCAGCAGCAAGATTGAAATGGTGGGCATAAAAGAATAACACATCATCCTTTAATTTTTCATGAGAGACTGAAAATGTCAAACTGCTTTGGGATTTAATTCATTAACATCTTCTGTCTGGAGTTCTCTTAAACAGATTTTTAAATAAATGATTATTCTTGGCTGTTTTATGAAACAGTGGTAGATCTGTGAGATGAGTGGGCAGATCTGTATTAACAAAGATGTGTATTTGTTGACATGGAAGCAAAATGATAGGAGATAATTAAGAATCTGACTTATTCTAAATAGTTTGCATGTCTGAGCATAACACGTGTTGGAATTGTTTGATTTCCAGATTGAAGACTATGATGTGATAGCTAGCATGATAGGAGCCAAGTGTAAAAAACTCCGGACCCTGGATCTATGGAGATGTAAGAATATTACTGAGAATGGAATAGCAGAACTGGCTTCTGGGTGTCCACTTCTGGAGGAACTTGACCTCGGCTGGTGCCCAACTCTGCAGAGCAGCACTGGGTGCTTCACCAGACTGGCACGCCAGCTCCCAAACTTGCAAAAACTCTTTCTTACAGCTAACAGATCTGTGTGTGACACAGACATTGAAGAATTGGCATGTAATTGTACCAGGTTACAGCAGCTGGACATATTAGGTAAGGATACAATATATAAATTTGTTTTAAATGCCTATTTCCTTGACATAAAAGCTGGTCTCAGACTTCTTGTAAGGAGAAAGAAAATTTTTGGATACAATAAAAATTTTGTCCTGATAAGACTGCTTGGTTTGATAGAAAATGCAAGATAGATCTGTTAATATAGGGAATAATTATACATGTACTTTAATAAAATGGGACAATAACAGAATTTTATAGTTGAACCTATCAAAAACTCTAAATAATCATTAATTCTTGATCTAGTTGGAAGAGTGAAAATTTACATGAACTGTGCTTTCTATTTTTATTAAGGAGACAAAAGAAATACATTTGATAATGAATGCTAGCTAGTTTTTTTTAAAGTTTCTTCATTATTGATTAAGAAATATCATGATATCTTTATCCCTGATAATTCTAGCATTTAAGAATAGTTCTACCCCAGGCAGATCTATTTAAAATCTTTTCCAACTCTGGTATTTCTTATATCCTTACTGCCTTCATCAGAAAGTAACCCTATGTAATTTTGTTACTTCTTACTTTTAGCCAGGGGTGCTAGCAGTGTCACAGTAGTTATTGTCCACACAATTGGTACTTTGTGAACTCACATCGCACTTGCACATTTTACATCAAATGCATGGTGAAAATCATTTTGAACTGGGGTGACAGAAATAGGAAAGTCTGGAGGAGCTGATTTGAAGGGGTAGGAGGTAGGAATGAAGATAGTGGGTGGGATATTGGCAAGATTCAGGTCCTAGATGCTAAATTGTCTGGGAAAATTCAGTTTTTACTTTTTTAACAGAATGATTTCAATATGAAGTCTTGTTTGAAAAACAAATGATTTTAATTTGTAAAGGATTATTTATTTTAAGTTCATTGCAAATAATAAATCATGAATGGATTCATTGTTAGCACATTATATAAATGTTATACTTAATTTTTTTTTTCTCTTTCCTTAAATAGGAACAAGAATGGTAAGTCCGGCATCCTTAAGAAAACTCCTGGAATCTTGTAAAGATCTTTCCTTACTTGATGTGTCCTTCTGTTCACAAATTGATAACAGAGCTGTGCTAGAACTGAATGCAAGTTTTCCAAAAGTGTTCATAAAAAAGAGCTTTACTCAGTGACTTAATATACGTTCTGTAATAAATTTAATGTGCTTCGGTGGGGTTTTATTTTGGGATTGGTTTTGGGTTTTGTTTTTAGTTGTTTTAATGGTAAGAAATAAGACATTTGTAGGTTTTAAAGAAAATTATGAAATTGTTCATTAAATCAAGTAAAAATGTGCACAAATATTTCCATATAATATTGTAAGCACTTTTCTTCAAGAATATGTGAGTGGATGATATTATTTTTACCTTATGTTAATCAGTGATATTATGCTTTAGTAATTAATGTGATTGATAAAAGAATAACATGGAGACATGCTAACTTATTTTTGAAGGAACACTGAGCAATAAAGTATCATGGTATTTATGCAAAAAAAAGTTAATTTTTTACTTTGGGAGGCCGAGGTGGGTGGATCACAAGGTCAAGAGATCGAGACCATCCTGGTCAAAGTGGTGAAACCCCGTCTCTACTAAAAATACAAAAAATTAGCTGGGCATGGTGGCGCGTGCCTGTAATCCCAGCTATTCAGGAGGCTGAGGCAGGAGAATTGCCTGAACCCAGGAGGTGGAGGTTGCAGTGAGCCGAGATCGCGCCATTGCACTCCAGCCTGGGTAACAAGAGCGAAACTCCATCTCGGAAAAAAAAAAAAAAGTTAATTTTTTACACCTCCATGTAAAGATCTTATTCAGCCTGTGACCTGGCAAGTGTTTTATTTGGTATGTACAAAATGGTCAGAGCTAGTTGGAGAAAGAGACATGCTTTTCCAGCTATTTGGTTATTTCTCTAGATTAACTGTTCAACTGGAAAATTTGTAGGTTTTCTAGCCAGGTGTGGTGGTGTGTAGTCCTAGCTGCACAGGAGGCGGAGGCAGGAGGATTACTTGAGATGGGATTTTGAGATGCTAGTGTATTTATGATTGCACCTGTGAACAGCCACTGTACTTCAACCTGGGCAATGTAGGAGGTCCCTTTCTCTTAAAAAAATCAAATTGTAGTGTTTCCACTTTTCTTCTGATATATTTGTCTATTTCACTACTGGATAATACCAATATAAAAATATGGGTATAATCAAGAATAAGAGGTAAACTACTAAGTAAAAAAGCTTTCCAACTTTTAGAAGCAGATGCCTTAATATTTTGCCAGAGGTAAAGTTTTGAAGTTTCTGAATTATATGTATATTTTCCTTATATATTAAAAAATCATAAATGTGGGAAGATACATGTATATATATAAATTATACAAATAAAATGATTTTTCCTGTGCTCTGTGACCTTAAATATTAGAAATCAACTCTGGGGGGGGATACAGGGGGGACAAAAAATTAAAAACATACATTGTTTTGTTAAAAAATGAATTCTGCTACTGAGAAAGACAGATATTATTTTGTGGCATGAAAAGACACAGCTGCTTTGAACAGAAAACTAATATTAACTGTGTAGTATAACAAAATTCATTGTCCTACTCAGTGCAAAATGGTTGTATTCCAACATCCACACACCCTAGAGTGAGCCTGTAGAACTGTGTCAGTATAGTAACCACTAATATTATGTGACTATTTTATTAATTTTAACTGAATTCAAGTAAAAATTTATATGTACTAGCTACATGTCAAGTGTTCAGTAGTCACATGAGGATAATGCTTCCTTTGTGTCTGACACTGTTTCTTGTGCTTTGCATTTACTAATTTGGTTTTCACACCAACCCTGTGAGATAAATGTCATTACTTAACCCCATTTACAGATGAGGAAACTGAGGCAAAGATAAAAGAATTTGAAGAATTTACCCATGATTATATAACTGCTAGTGGCAGAGCCAGTATATAAATACAGGCCATCTGGCTTCTGAAGCAGTGCATTCAGCCTGTGCTTTTAAGTGTCCAGGGTAGCTTCTGGCTCTATCTAGGGTAGAGATCAGGAGACTTTTTCTATAATGGGACAGATAGTAAATATTTTAGGCTTTGTGGGCTAAGAGGTAAAACTGAGATTGTTATGTAGGTACTTAAATAACTAGAGAGAAATAAAATTTGCACAAAAATTTTATTGACAAAATTCAAAACAATAATTGAGGACAATTTTTTTTTGTAATGCGGGTTTACTAATGAAAATAATTAAATATTTGGGGGGGGATCACATTTCACTTAACTGAGGCTCAGAGTTAATGTTTCCTGTCATCAAAGTTGATTATAATTACTCATTTGTTAATGCTGATCTTCAATAAGATTTTATGTATTTTACTTTTGAAAATTTCTTACAGATAGATGTCAAATACTTATATTAATCCATGAGAATATGATTTTCGTTGAGTGTATTCATCACTTGGAAGGTTATTTCTTGATATTTTCCTTTTAGCATGTTATTACGTTGCAGCTTAATCACTTCCAAAGATTAGGTGGAAGCTCCTCAATTGTATTGTTAGATCAATTTTTGAAAAGTGGAAATTTCCTTTGCACTTGCAAACTCCAAAAAACACTGTGGGAACTATAGTGTGAGCTACAAATTTGTGTGAGAATGGAGATCCTGCTTCTTTGTCTTACCTTTTGATAGCACAAGAAATGTGTAAAGCAGCTTGTTGTTACTTGTAATTCAAACAATATTGTCATCAAAATGACTTAAATATGTTTCACATGTAAACACTTGTTTTGCCTTGTAATTTTGGTTGAATTCATTTCAAAATGTTATTACATCTTGAGCAAAAGCTAAATTCCAAAGGCATTCAGTGTTCCTTAACAGTGGTTGAGGACATGTCTTCTTTTTCAGAAAAATGTCAGTATCAGCCTTGAACTCAAAAGCTCACTATAGAACTAACACTAATATGGCAATGTGGTTGGGCAAATCAGAATTTTCATCTTCCGTATCTGACAAAAGATAACTGAACCATTGATGTTTAATCTGTCAGCAACTATGGGAGCAAATGAAGTTCATTATTGATGCCGCTAATTCAGTAATACAAAATGGAGTCAGCTGTATCCCACAGAGTACCTGCGGATGAATAATATTCTTATCTTTTCACAGGCTTTATAAATTTGACAAACGTAATCTTTTTGCTTCACACATTTTTAACACCACCAGTTATAACACATCTTAGTAGATTCTACTTCAGGTTGCATGAAATTTGTGTTTTCTTCTTAGAAAATATTTATGCTTGTAATTGTTCCACACAGATAATTTATAGACACTAATTTCAGTCACTTCAACATTGGCATGGACTTATCAAATAAGCAGTAAAGGCAGTATCAGTAATATCTGTTTACTCACCAAGAGCCAAGGAAAACCACTCAGGGTCATTTGCCTTGTTTTTTTTTTTACTGACTGGTAATGTTGTTCCCAATGTTCTCAATTTAAGCAACCATTCTTGCCAAAAGGCTAATTTAGTAGTCTTCATCAAGTTTCCTATGGACAGATTTCTTCAGCTGATACAGTCAAACACAATTTAGTCATTATTGGTTGAATGTTAACTGAGTCACTTTGGCTACAGCTTTATTTTCATATTTGATTTTTATAAATTTTGTAATAAGATCTTATTTTAAATGTTCTAGTTTTTCTGACAATTACATTGATGAGTGCTTAGTCTGGTAATTCCAGCATATATAGTATTTTTTTTTTTTATTTTTTGAGACAGAGTCTCATTCTGTTGCTTCGGCTGGAGTGCATTGGCATGATCTCAGTGCACCGCATCCTCTGCGCTCCGGGTTCAAGTGATTCTCCCACCTCAGCCTCCCAAGTAGCTGAGATTACAGTCACACGCATCAATGCCTGACTAATTTTTGTGTTCTTAGTAGAGATGGGGTTTCACCGTGTTGTCCAGGCTGGTCTTGAACTCCTGACCTCAAGTGATCCACCCACCACGGCCTCCCAAAGTGCTAGGGTTACAGGCATGAGCCACTGCAGCTGGGCACCCTGTAGTATTCTTTAAGAACAGCTATAGTGACATTGCGTATTAAACATCATACTCTGACATTTAATTTGATTTTTAAAAAATCCATATACTACTGTGCCTTTAAAATGTCACTTTAAGTCTACTTTTCTTTTTTTCTCTTGTTTTGATGTTATAGATAAACACTAGTAATAAAAGGTTTAAAAATATTGTGGTATGACAATATGTGTGGCACTCAAAATGCTGGTAACTGTATTACTGCAATTTGTAGTGTGCCAAGTAGCAGTGCAAAATGATGACAGCACCACATAAGTCTCTGTTGCAAGTATTCAACTCTGCCATTGTAATTTGAAAGCAATCATAGACAATACCTAAATGAATGGGTGCGACCATGTTCCAGTAAAATTTTATTTATGAGCACTGAAAGTTGAATTTCACTTAACTTTCATGTGTTACAAAATACTACTGTTAGCCATTAGACTAACAAATTTGTAACCCCTACTCCAGAGTATTCTCGAGTCAGTTAATCCATGTTTTCTTATTCTTAATTTTATAAGCCACATTCAAACCTGTTCTCAGCTGTTACCTTTCTTATTTTGCCATTTAGATTTAAAAATGAAGAACAGTGTTTTGTTAGAAAAGACAGTGTTTACTATAACAAGATAGATATGTAGACAAGAAAGATATTTATGTAGACTCTCTGTTCATTAAATTTTGAAGCCAGATGATGCATTGTTAGCTTTGACAACTGACTTAAATTTTTGTGTAATTATTTATCTTCGCATTTTGCTCAGGTAAATTATCTTCCCAGAGTCTAGAAATAAAGATATCCCTGATCCTGTTTGAGAGCAGAGTTAAATGATCCTCTCAGTGTAAATTGCTTTGAAATAAGATCTTCAAAATAAAAAATACAGGCAATTAATGTTCAGGTGCTTAGTTTTGAACCAATATGTAGCAAAGAAAAAGTAATTTCTCTGTGTCAGCATTTTTATTTTTTGGCATTTCCTAGGAATTAACTGAAGATTAAAAACTCGTTAAGTGCAAGTGTATTGACACGAACCAAAGAGTCAGTAAAAATTACATTTGCCTACTATGTGTGTGTGTATCACATATTTGAGACAGGGTCTTAACTGTTGCCCAGGCTGGAGTGCAGTGGCATGATCTCAGCTTATTGCAGCCTCAATCTTCCAGGCTCAAGCGATCCTCCCACCTCAGCCTCCCAGGTACCTGGGACTACAGGTACTATCACGCCTGGCTAATTTTTCATTTGTCATGGAGACACAGTTTTGCCATGTTGCCTATGTTGGTCTTGAACTCCTGGGCTCAAGTGATCTTCCCACCTTGGCCTTCCAAAGTGTGGGATTACGGGTGTAAGCCTCTACGTCTGGCCCATATATGTTAATAGTGAATGTTCGGATTTTCATCTGTTACTTTCAGCTATTAAAGGATACCTATAACAGACACAGTAATTTGCATTTTTTAAGTCATTTATGACACATTTATCAGTGTTAGTCTGCTTTTCTCCTTTGTACATTTGATATTGATACTTCAGAGAAACTTTTTAACTACCCTTAAAATCTTGTCAATGACCATTAACTGCCAATCATCACCTCATTTGCTTATTGAAAACATTGCTAGAAACGTAGGCTGTGAGTATAAATCCATAGCTGTTTGAATCATTTTTTGGCAATAGCTCACATTCTGTTAAGAGTCATTTACTTTAATCAGAGATTTGATTTATTTTTTTTTATAAGTAGGGATGGGGCCAAGATTATTCCTTTGGCACAGTAGTAAGTGTACTCAAGATCTTTGCCTGTAAGCTTGAATATTTGGCTTAAATTTTATACATATAAATAGTGTTAAAGGTATATTTGACTACATTTTGAAAGGAAAAAGGAAGTCCTGTCAAAATTGACATTTAGGGATATTTTAATCTATGTATTTTGTAAAGTAACAGTGTATTATAAAAATTTAAAGGAAAAAATTTAAAAGCAAAACAGTCATATGATCAGATAAATAGAATACACCAAAGATAAAACAAGTCTCTGTTGCAAATGAAGTCTGTACAGACACTGAGATATTTTAATTTTATTTACAAAAAATGTTCAATGTCTAATGATTTCTGTTGTTTGTATTCTGTACTTTAGAGTAATAAAAATAAGCTTTACTATCTCATTAGTTCACTTTCAAAATTTATCATTTCAGGACACCACTGAATATAATGAAAGGTTTGGGTAAATAGGTTTGTGTCACAGCCCCTATGAAATTATCAGCCTAGATGAGGAGCCACTTAGCAATCTATCCACATGCTATGAAATGATGTCAACTTGGGTGCATTTTAAACCCTCAAATTATAGGAGTTTGCAGCTAAACTCGAAACTGAGTTCACACTGTTATTTATTTCTATGTTCTCAATTATACCTCCAAATTAACATTTACTTAAAAGTTTGATTTGCTACTTAAACCAAAATTTGATACAGTGTTTTCCTCCTTTTACTTACGAAGTATCATTTGCCTTTTGTAGAAACCAATCCCTTCATTCCTATATTTCTTCAGTTGTTTCACAGTTCTTAGGTCCAAACTACTTTTGGTGAGCTAGGATGGAATGAATGATGTGCGGTAAAACTTTCATCCATCTGTTTAGTCAATATGTATTGACAACAAAAATATATTGATAGCTTTGTGCTAGGCACAGATTGAGGTAAGTTTGCTGGATATAGAAAAGGCATATAAACAACCTCGGAACAATTTCCCAAAATGGTTATGTATCAAGACAAAAAGGTTTCTTTACTGCTGAACTTCAGGGACTTTAAAATATTAATGGACAATGTGAAGGTGAGTTCAGATTTGTACTGTTTCCCAGACTTCTGTGAATACCTGTCAACTTACTTAAAAACTAGTTTTTCAGAACACAGTTTGGAGAATGACACTGACAGCATTATAGGATGTGTTATGAAAAGTATTCACTAAGGTCACTTTTAACCTACTTCCTAAAGATTAGGTTATACATTGTAATTTTGTTTCTTTTAAAAGTATTTTTTATTTATGAAGAATCTTTGGAAGTTACTAATACTTTGGTGATGTGATTTTAAAAATATTTTTGAGCATGATTACTTTTATTTTAACCTGTAATTTCTAATTTTTCCAGTTTTTAATTAATGTATTAAATTTTTAGAATATTTATTTAGTATCCTAAAATTCTGTGATATACAAATCATAGTTGTAACTGGGAATACCTTAAAGGACTGCTGTTCCATTCTGATGATTTTGATATTAATGTTTGTATCTAGGATTTCACTGTCAAGTTGCTTTAATATATGTTGCGTTAGTCCATAAACTATTTTAACCATCCATTGTATAGTAATAGAAAAAAGTAGAAATTTTAGATTAACTTCTGATAAGTGACTATTTTAAAAATGTTTAATATATAACCTTTTAAAAAAATGTATGGCATAAATTCACTACTAGCATCTGTTTTGGTAAAGTCTGAGAATGAAGTAAAGGGGTAGTTTATCATAAGAATCATTTCTTTACAAATAAATCCTTTAAATGTAAACCCTATTATATGTATAGTCATACATATATATACACACATATATATACTTATTTCAGCTTCTCCAGTAAATGTGTGTTAATTTTGTTGAACTTTTTTTTAGTGGGAAGTTATATTTCTGCAATGCTTTCTATAGAATATTTATAAATTATTGCTAAGATTACATCAACCAAGGCAATAGAATTGTTAATACTAACACCAATTCTGACACACCATTGTTCTTACTTGATATGTTTTTGCTGACAGATATGCCAAATAAAGAATCAATATTGTTAAAGCCCTAGTAACTTCGTTGGAAAGTCCCAAAAATAACTCCATTCATTAAAACCTAAAATAACTGTTCTCAAGTCCTAATAATTGGAAATCTTTGTCAAATTGAAAGAATTTACAATGTGTATCCCTAGCATGTGTTATCCTCACTGTCAGCAGTATATGTCTGGACATGTGCACAGAAAAGAGAAACACTTAGATTGAGGACTGTTTTGCCTCTGTCTTTCAAAATGCCTTCCGCTTTACCATCTATGTACACTCCTTGCAAAATCAAGAGTCGTAGTCATTTCCTGCCCTAGGTCCATCTATTTTACGGGGGCCTAGAGAATGAATGGAAAGTGCTCCTGGAGCATCATAAGTCCACATTCCTCAGTGCCTTCAGCCGTTCTGAACCTGTGCAGCAAGCCACTAGCTTCAGTTCTCTGTAGCCTTAAATCTCTCCTCATAAATTATCTGGGTTATTTTAAAAAAAGATTTTAAACATTAATAAGGTGAATTTCTTAAGCTTAATGTGGTATGCTGATAAGTGGTTAGTGACCAACTCTTGGGAGGAAAAACAAAGCCCCAATTTGTAGTGGTTCCCAATTTTTATCATGTAATACTCCCATCTGGCTGATTTCAAGCTATCAACATGAAGTCACTTAATGCTGAGTTGTAATGAGACACACATATTTTTCTCTTTTGAGATGATATGAACTGACTCCAGGTCCCGCTGCCAGATAAAGTTATTAAACATTGATCCCATAATTTCTGAAAAATAGGCATAATAAGCTATAGCCAGCTTTCCCCCAGAGGTGGTATTATATGTAGTTAAATGGTCCTTCAATATCTATGAAATTCCTCTTTGCCATCAAATACATTACAATAATAAAATTCAAAACGTATTCTAAACATTTCAATAATCATGTAGGAAAATTAAGTATATTAAGAAGAAAAAATTGAAAAACTTTACAAGAAGCAAATTATTTTGCTGATGTAAATCTGACATAAATCATATAAATTGATAAGAGCATTGTGTGTTTATGGGATTATAATTTTTTTAGAGTTCCCCTGTATTTCCATGACTTTGAAAATTATTTCCCCAGATAAATTGTGGCATTTCCTTTCTGCATGTTGGTGCAATTTTACATTATAAAATTGTCATGTAGATTCATTACACCTGTTTTCCAAACACAAATGACCATAATTCAAATATGTACGTATCATATACCAACCTCCAAACTATATGAAAACATTCTATCACTAATGTATTTGTAGGCACAGTAATAAGATATTTACCCATTTTTATAACAAAGCTTCTTGGTCTGAAAACCTCAGAATTTTTACTTGTGATATCTTTCTGCTTCAGGTACCAGATTTTTGATCCAGATATGGGAACATATATATATTAGCTTTTACTAGAGTACAATGGGTAACGAGACACATCAACCATTTCGGTAGCTTTCAACAACAAATATTTTTCACTTGTGTGGCTTGCTGGCTACTGTGGCTACTGTTAATTGCTGTGGCTGCATGTGATTCAGGTTGAGGTTTATTCTATTCAGGCCCCATGCTGAAAGAGAAGGCCTTACCTGGGATATGCCCTTCTGGTGTTAGAGGGCACTGAAGAGAACTGGCAGCATTGTGAAATGCATGGAAAAGCTCATCAAGTCTGTTTGCATTGTGTTGACCAAGCAAGTCATGTGGCTAAACCCAGTCATTGGTCAGCAAAGCTATTCTTCCTGTAGGGAGCCATTGTAAGTCACATCCAAAAGTTTTGGGAACAATTAATTCTGAACAATAATACCCAATGTATCATGATGTACTACAAATATTTCAGCTACAAATATTAAGTAGCCAAAATATCTCAAAATAATATAAAAGGAAATATCTTAATTTTTAAAAAGAGGCATAATATTGAATACAGTGGTTTAGGTACAGAATTTTTAAAAGATCCTCATTCTTCGTAAGATTTTCCCAAATAATCACCAAATACCATGGAAAATTGAAAAATAGGATAAACTGATAGAAATGTTTCTGAAACAATAGTCATGAAGAATTCATAATCAACTGCGCTACCTATTGACTACTTAACTTTGGGTCTCAACTTCCACATCTGTAAACTGAGAAAGTTGTTCCAAAAGCTTTCTAAAGTCATTGTCAGTATAAAGGTCTCATTCTAATGCTTTCTTTATTGTCAGCTAATTAACAAAGCATATCCTTCTGCAATTTATATTATAGTTTAACTCAGTTTTTCTTAGAATTATGGCAGAGCACCAAAACTTTAATTTTATTTGTATCCCTGTTTATTAAAAAATGGATTTGAGATAAACTAATAGGAAAAGATCTTCCTTGTTTTTACTTAGTATTCAAATGGTACGACCTAGTTTTTTTGTTTGTTTGTTTGCTGTAATTTAAGAACCAACCTTATTTTTCTCTTGACTTGTTGTTGTACTTTTAGTTCTGGGATCCATGTGCAGAAGGTGCAGGTTTGTTACGTAGGTATACACATGCCATGGTGGTTTGCTGCACCCATCAACCTGTCATCAACATTAGGTATTTCTTTAATGATATTCATCCCCTAGCCCTCCACCTGGCGACAGGCCCCAGTGTGTGATGTTACTCTCTCTGTGTCCATGTGTTCTCATTGTTCAACTCCCACTTGTAAGTGAGAATATGCAGTGTTTGGTTTTCTGTTCTTGTGTTAGTTTGCTGAGAATGATGGTTTCTAGCTTCATCCATGTACCTGCAAAGGACATGAACTCATCCTTTTTTATTGCTGCATAGTATTCCATGCTGTATATGTGCCACATTTTTTTATCCATTCTGCCCTCGATGGGCATTTAGGTTGGTTTCAAGTCTTTGCTATTGTGAATAGTGCTGCAATAAACATATATGTGAGTGTGTCTTTATAGTAGAATGATTTATAATCCTTTGGGTAAATACCCAGTAATGGGATTGCTGGGTCAGATCCCATTACTGGTATTTCTGGTTCTAGATCCTTGAGGAGTGGCCACACTATCTTCCACAGTGGTTGAACTAATTTACACTCCCACCAACAGTGTAAAAGTGTTCCTATTTCTCCACATCCTCTCCAGCATCTGTTGTCTCCTCACTTTTTAATGACCGCCATTCTAACTGGTATGAGGTAATATCTCAATGTGGTTTTGATTTGCATTTCTCTAATGACCAGTGATGATGAGCATTTTTTCATGTTTGTTGGCTGCATAAATGTCTTCTTTTGAGAAGCGTCAGTTCATATCCTTTGCCCACTTTTTCATGGGGTTATTTTTTTTCTTGTAAATTTGTTGAAGCTTTGTAGATTCTGGATATTAGCCCTTTGGCAGGGCGATAGATTGCAAAATTTTTTCCC